GTGATTTACACCTGTATTCCACTATGTTGCTTCAACCATCAGCTGTTTGTCTACCTACACGTCAGAATAGGAAATACAGACAGTATACAAACACCTTATTATGAAACCTATTATGAATTCATTGAAACAAACAATCACGCGAACAAGTAAGTTTATATCATAATCGGCTACAGTCTTGAGACTCTTACGATTAAGTGGGTAACACAATTGATACTTCTGTCTTGATACGTTGACATTGGGAAAAGAAATTATAATGAGTCTAGGTTTGGAATACTGTTAGGAAAATGAAATATGTTGTTGCGAGGGATGGCTGAAAAGTATAACGGGCTGCGTTGAAGAGTTGGTTGCTAATTAATTTTCAACATAATCCGCTCCATGGTCCATACACTTCTGCAAACGACACTGGAGTGCCAGAATCCCACTGGTGTAGAAGACTTCGCCACAGCAGAAATTACGTCATTGTAATTATAATAAAGTTATTCAAAAATAAATTACGTCATCATACTTTGCATTATGTTTGCCAATCTGACGGTGCCAAATCTGGTGAATACGGAGGATGTTCAATGAGTTCAAGGCCATGGTCATGCATTGTTGCCATGTCGACAACAGACTTGTGCACAGGCGCATTGTGGAAACCATACCTTCACGGAATTGTCCACGACGTTGAGCCTTGATAACCTTACGAAGTTGCATGTAGACAGATAAGGATGATATTGGCCTTGTGAATACAAGTATGATACACCAGTGCTGTGAGTACACATATGAAACACATGCGCTGTTAGGACCAAAATGAAACATATGTGTTGCGAGAACAAGTATAAAACACCTGTGTTGTAAACACAAATATGAAACACCTGTGTTTTGAGTACAGGTATGAAGCACCTGTATTGTAAACACAAATATGAAACACCTGTGTTTTGAGTACAAGTATGAAACTCCTGTGTTGTAAACACACATATGATACACATGGATTGTAAATACCAATATAAAACACCAAGGGTTGTGAGTTGACATGTGAAGCACTGTGGCGTGCAAAGTAGCTTTCATGTAACTGTACGAAATATCATAACTGTCAAATGGAGAAAACCTTTCTGTATATTTGCTTAATAATGGCCCACGAGGGGTAAATGTCAGGAGAGACAGCACCAGGTCTAAGGTGTTAGGATTAGTAAACAGCCTCACTGGCCTCGTCCACACTTTCAGATTCAGTACCTGGGTTAGGATCAGCCAGTTATGTGAAACCTCGTCCTGATCTTGGTGCCCAATATTCCCCATTGCTGGGGGACAACCACCTCAACAAGCTATTTGCTCTAATAATCTACAATCCGACACTAAAGTATAACGATTTTGGGTCGCGCTGTACTTAATACAGCATTTCAGTCAAGTGTCCTTTGTGCATTGTCCACACAGTTATAAAAGTCGTAAGTGTGTACTGTAATATAACAGTTGTAACTGTATTGTCTGTGCTGTGATATAGCAGTTGTAACTGTATTGTCTGTGCTGTGATATAACAGTTGTAACTGTATTGTCGGTGCTCTGATATAACAGTTGTAACTGTATTGTCGGTGCTCTGATATAACAGTTGTAACTGTATTGTCCGTCCTGTGATATAACAGTTGTATCTGTATTGTCGGTGCTCTGATATAACAGTTGTAACTGTATTGTCTGTGCTGTGATATAGCAGTTGTAACTGTATTGTCTGTGCTGTGATATAACAGTTGTATCTGTATTGTCGGTGCTCTGATATAGCAGTTGTAACTGTATTGTCTGTGCTGTGATATAACAGTTGTAACTGTATTGTCGGTGCTCTGATATAACAGTTGTAACTGTATTGTTGGTGCTCTGATATAACAGTTGTAACTGTATTGTCTGTGCTCTGATATAACAGTTGTAACTGTATTGTCGGTGCTCTGATATAACAGTTGTAACTGTATTGTCTGTGCTCTGATATAACAGTTGTAACTGTATTGTCGGTGCTCTGATATAACAGTTGTAACTGTATTGTCGGTGCTCTGATATAACAGTTGTAACTGTATTGTCTGTGCTGTGATATAACAGTTGTAACTGTATTGTCGGTGCTCTGATATAACAGTTGTAACTGTATTGTCTGTGCTGTGATATAGCAGTTGTAAACGTATTTCCCATTCTGTGATATAACAGAAGTAACTGTATTGTCTGTGCTGTGATATAACAGTTGTAACTGTATTGTCGGTGCTCTGATATAACAGTTGTAACTGTATTGTCTGTGCTGTGATATAGCAGTTGTAAACGTATTTCCCATCCTGTGATATAACAGAAGTAACTGTATTGTCCGTCCTGTGATATAACAGTTGTAACCGTATTGTCTGTGCTGTGATATAACAGTTGTGACTGTATTGTCCGTCTTGTGATATAACAGTTGTTAACGTATTTACCGTCCTGTGATATAACAGTTGTAACTGAATTGTCCATCCTGTGATATAACAGTTGTGACCGTATTGTCGGTGCTCTGATATAACAGTTGTAACCGCATTGTCTGTGCCGCGATAAAACAGTTGTGGCAGTATTGTCCGTCCTGTGATATAACAGTTGTAACCGTATTGTCTGTGCTGCGATATAACAGTTATAGCCGTATTGTCTGTGCTGTGATATAACAGTTGTGACTGTATTGTCCGTCTTGTGATACAACAGTTGTTAACGTATTTCCCGTCCTGTGATATAACAGTAGTAACTGTATTTACCGTCCTGTGATATAACAGTTGTAACTGAATTGTCCATCCTGTGATATAACAGTTGTGACCGTATTGTCCGTCCTGTCATAAAACAGTTGTAACCGCATTGTCTGTGCCGCGATAAAACAGTTGTGGCAGTATTGTCCGTCTTGTGATATAACAGTTGTAACAGTAATGTCTGTGCTGATATAACAGTTGTAACCGTATTGTCTGTGCTGTGATATAACAGTTGTAACTACATTGTCTGTGCTGATATAACACTTGTTACCGTAATGTCTGTGCTGTGATTTAACAGTTGTTATTGTATTGTCTGTGCTGATATAACAGTTGTAACCGTATAGTCCGTCCTGTGATATAACAGTTGTGACCGTATTGTCCGTCCTGTGATAAAACAGTTGTAACCGCATTGTCTGTGCCGCGATAAAACAGTTGTGGCAGTATTGTCCGTCTTGTGATATAACAGTTGTAACAGCAATGTCTGTGCTGATATAACAGTTGTAACCGTATTGTCTGTGCTGTGATATAACAGTTGTAACTACATTGTCTGTGCTGATATAACACTTGTTACCGTAATGTCTGTGCTGTGATTTAACAGTTGTTATTGTATTGTCCGTCTTGTGATATAACAGTTGTGACCGTATTTTCCGTCCTGTAATGAAACAGTTGTAACCGCATTGTCTGTGCCGTGATAAAACAGTTGTGACCGTATTGTCTGTCTGGTGATATAACAGTTGTAACTGTAATGTCTGTGCTGATATAACAGTTCTAACCGTATAGTCCGTCCTGTGATATAACAGTTGTAACTGTATTGTCTGTGCAGATATAACAGTTGTAACCGTATTGTCTGTGCTGCGATATAACAGTTATAGCCGTATTGTCTATGCTGTGATATAACAGTTGTGACTGTATTGTCCGTCTTGTGATATAACAGTTGTAAACGTATTTTTTGTCCTGTGATATAACAGTAGTAACTGTATTGTCCGTGTTGTGTTATAACAGTTGTAACGGTATTGTCGGTGCTGTGATATAACAGTTTTAACCGTATTTTCCGTCCTGTGATTTAACAGTTGTAACCGTTTTGTCTGTGCTGTGATATAACAGTGGTAACGGTATTGGCTGTGCTGTGATATAGCAGTTTTGACTGTATTGTCCGTCCTATGATATAACTGTTGTGACTGCATTGTCCGTCCTATGATATAACTGTTGTGACCGTATTGTCCGTCCTGTGATATAGCAGTTGTGACTGTATTGTCTGTGCTGATATAACAGTTGTAACTGTATTGTCCGTGCTGATCTAACAGTTGTAACCGTATTTCCGTCCTGTGAAATAGCAGTTGTAACCGTATTGTTTGTGCTGTGATATAACAGTTGCGTCCATATTGTCGGTGTTGTGACAGAACAGTTGTAAGAATATTGTCCGTCCTGTCATATAACAGTTGTAAGAATATTGTCTGTTATAACTGTATTGTCCGTGCTGATATAACATGTGAAACTGTACTGCAAATGATGTGATAGACGAAGGATATCACATTCTTCTTCGGTGTTGGTTTGTACACCTTAGCCGTAAAAGAGATCATGAGGAAAGCCCGACGTGATTCAGGTCTAAGACAAATACCACTTTGGTGAAACCCATGGACAAACCTAGAAAACACAGGACGAACTTGATTATCGGTCATAGGTTCCTGGCGCGCTTCATTGAATTGTGCCACCGTGCCCCCAACGACGGTACGATGATGATGAAGATGACGATGATGACACTATCTACATTCCCCAGGACAGCCTTCCACACCTGTCCTGTGCATCGTGTAGCTATTGTACCAACAGTTGAGTCCTCCTTTCTCTCTTACTTGCCTACCACTAATCCGAGTACAAAGAGTGAGCGGTCGACGAGCTGGATTGCCTTTGTGGACGCGGGATAACAACAGTTTGCCATTAGTTCAATGATAAATATCGGCTCAGGTCTGTCTGGTGTGTGCCGGATGAGTCTCGGGGTAGAGGATTGAGACCATTCGGGTGGATTTACTGGTTAGGCTACTGAGAGCGGACACATAATCAATACCCGAGAAGCCTTGAGGACTTAGGGGAAATTAGGATGAGCTCTCCGCTATGGCTTGGAGGTATACAAGGCTGTTAGCGAGGTCCAGGTGGCATATTTTGAAATCCTATTTGAACCATGCATATAAGAGAGGGATGGCTGAAGTTAATGTGTTATCAGTATTTGGGTCTAATTTGTGTTATCAACATGTAGATATATATCATGACAGAATAACTAACAGAACTCTGACCTACCTTAAGAATGTCGACAGTCCCAGTGAAATTAAAACAAGCGGTATCGTCCGAACACACAGCATGAAATGTCAGCATGACTATCGTCTGCTATCAAATCTATCGTCTGCCTTTTTTCAGTTGTGTGAATTCCAGTCAGCGCTGAAGTGTAGTGTATAGTTCAGCCCATCCTGGGAGGCGGCACGTCAAAGCGAGAGCTAAAACAACTCCGATCTTTCGTAACTGAACTCCTTGAATTGAGATTGTCGTCTGCTCTTATTACACTGGCAGGTCTGCTCGTTTCCGACACGTATTAGCCGTTATCTGCTCTATACCACCAATACCAATAGCCCCTGGTTAGACAGATACAACTGAAGAAGAAACCTAGTTATGCACACCATGTGTTGATAGATTCATTCAAAAGACATTACAAATACAGAGAGGACAGGTAGTCATGTCGTGAAGCTGTCGTCTGCCAGAACTTGATAAGAAGCAAGTTGACGGGTATATATCTCTATATACCCAACACAAACAGAAGTCGGATATCAGTGCAGGGTGTCTCACCGAAAGTTTATCTACCTGAGCGTCCGTTTTAATCAAAGAATGCAGGTAGATCGAATACCTGAGCAAGCAGAAGTAAGGGAGAAATGATATCTGTGCCTTTCAAGTGACAGCTTCTGGGGGTGAGAAGATACCGGGTCATTAGACTGAAGGTGTGAACACACACATCCCGCCTCTCTGCTTTAAGTCACCCTGTTTCTTAGACACACATCAGAGCATGTATCACCTCTCTTGTTTGCGAGTCTTCATTTGATCCCAGAGGTCTGACCGGACTGTACAAGTGTTAATGTTTAACTCAACATTCATCACACACACTCGTTTTTTTTCACCGTTACTTCTATTGTCCATTGTTTTGGAGAACAAGGGTGTGATAAAGTGTCTATTTCAAAGTTAGAGAGTGACAGGGTTGTCACACTTCGACTATCACTTTCCGCGGGCGTTCTCGCCTCAACGTCTTTATTACAAAGTAGTAATACTGTATTAAGTTTCAAGTCAACAATGCACAGCCATTTCCAAAGTCTATACCTTCTTCCACGTCAACTGCTTGTCCTATAGCGCTCCGTAGGGTCCTTGTTTCTTACGATATTTATATATTACCCGAACATTAGCGTGACTATCAAACTGTTACCTGTCTCTCATGCTGGGGCTTCACCGGGCAACATAAGCCATTCGAACCATTAAATCATCTTAATAACTGTTGTGTTGAATGAAGTGCGGGTATGTAACAGTTCTAATTGTCAGAATGCAGTGACCAGTGGTGCATACTATCCATGGTTGTATAGGTCTCTACACTGGGACCTGGAGGTAAAGGAAGATGTAGCACTTAGTGATGAAAACAGGCTTTCATACATCATTATATTAATGTTGCTATGAGAGGTTTATGTAAAGTTTGGGCGAGGTTGATGGTTGGGATCATGTTCAAATCTATCTTTAAGACATGACGATAATAATGCCCCTCTCTTTTAACTAAGAAGCTCAACATGAAGTAAGCTGTACTGAAAGGGTGTACTGACAAGGTGTACTAGGATTAATGAACAGGTGTACTTGCCGCTGTTGCATCTGAATTATACTGCTGATATTGAATGACACAAAACATTGCTTGACACCACTCATGGCATTGCATCACACCGCTCATGGCATTGCATGATACCGCTCATGGCATTGCATGACACCTCCCATGGCATTGCATGACACCGCTAATGGCATTGCATGACACCTCTCATGGCATTGCTTGACACCGCTCATGGCATTGCATGACACCTCTCATGGCATTGCTTGACACCTCTCATGGCAGTGCATGACACCTCTCATGGCATTGCATGACACCGCTCATGGCATTGCATGACACCTCCCTTGGCATTGCATGATACCTCTTATGGCATTGCATGACACCTCTCGTCGCATTGCTTGACACCGCTCATGGCATTGCATGACACTTCTCATGGCATTGCGTGACACCTCTCATGGCATTGCGTGACACTGCATGGTACAGAAGTACATGATACATATAGGTTCCGATACCCGTGTCATTGGCGGACACGTCATGTCATTGCATGACACCTCATGTGTCGTCACAGCACTGAATCACGTGACATAGCACTGTATGGTATTTCCAGATACTCAATGACACTTCACAACACCGACATCACATGATAGACTATTTGTTACCTTCTGACACTGTATGACACTGAATGTCACCTTCTGACATTGTATGTGACCTTCTGGCACTGTGTGACACTGAATGTTATCTTCTGACATTGTATGTTACCTTCTGACATTGTATGTTACCTTCTGACACTGTATATTACCTTCTGACACTGTATGACACTGTATGTTACCTTCTGACACTGTATGACACGGTATGTTACCTTCTGACATTGTATGTTATCTTCTGACACTGTATGACACTGTATGTTACCTTCTTACACTGTATGACACGGTATGTTACCTTCTGTCATTGTATGTTACCTTCTGACATTGAATGTTACCTTCTGACACTGTATGACACTGTATGTTACCTTCTGACATTGTATGTTATCTTCTGACATTGTATGTTACCTTCTGACACTGTATGACATTGTATGTTACTTTCTGGCACTGTATGTTACCTTTTGACACTATATGACACTGTATGTTACCTTCTGATACTGTGTGACATTGTATGTTACCTTCTGACATTGTATGTTACCTTCTGACATTGTATGTTACCTTCTGACATTGTATGACACTGTATGTTACCTTCTGACACTGTATGACATTGTATGTTACCTTCTGACATTGTATGACACTGTATGTTACCTTCTGACACTGTATGACATTGTATGTTACCTTCTGACATGTATGTTACCTTCTGACACTGTATGTTACTTTCTGACACTGTATGACACGGTATGTTACCTTCTGACATTGTATGTTACCTTCTGACATTGAATGTTACCTTCTGACACTGCATGTGGCCTTCTGGCACTGTGTGACACGGTATGTTACCTTCTGACACTGTATGACACTGTATGTTACCTTCTGATACTGTATGACACGGTATGTTACCTTCTGACATTGTATGTTATCTTCTGACACTGTATGACATTGTATGTTATCTTCTGACACTGTATGACATTGTATCTTACCTTCTGACATTGTATGTTACCTTCTGACATTGTATGACATTGTATGTTACCTTCTGACATTGTATGTTACCTTCTGACATTGTATGACACTGTATGTTACCTTCTGACACTGTATGACATTGTATGTTACCTTCTGACATTGTATGTTACCTTCTGACACTGTATGACATTGTATGTTACTTTCTGGCACTGTATGTTACCTTTTGACACTATATGACACTGTATGTTACCTTCTGACACTGTATGACATTGTATGTTACCTTCTGACATTGTATGTTACCTTCTGACATTGTATGACATTGTATGTTACCTTCTGACATTGTATGACATTGTATGACATTGTATGTTACCTTCTGACATTGTATGTTACCTTCTGACACTGTATGACACGGCATGTTACCTTCTGACATTGTATGACATTGTATGTTACCTTCTGACACTGCATGTGGCCTTCTGGCACTGTGTGACACGGTATGTTACCTTCTGACATTGTGTGACATTGTATGTTACCTTCTGACACTGTATGACATTGTATGTTACCTTATGACATTGTATGACACAGTATGTTACCTTCTGACATTGTATGACATTGTATGTTACCTTCTGACACTGTATGACACTGTATGTTACCTTCTGACATTGTATGACATTGTATGTTACCTTCTGACATTGTATGTTACCTTCTGACACTGTATGACACTGTATGTTACCTTCTGACACTGTATGTTACCTTCTGACATTGTATGGTTCCTTCTGACACTGCATGACACTGTATGTTACCTTCTGACACTGAATGACACGGTATGTTACCTTCTGACACTTTATGACACTGTATGTTACCTTCAGACACTTTATGACACTGTATGTTACCTTCTGACATTGTATGTTACCTTCTGACACTTTATGACACTGTATGTTACCTTCTGACACTGTATGACACTGTATGTTACCTTCTGATACTGAATGACACTGTATGTTACCTTCTAACACTGTATGACTCATTGTTACCTTCTAACACTGTACGACACGTAATAAACACAAATTGCCAAACATGACACATTTCCGATACTACATGACATTGTAAGGCACATCTTGACACTGTTTGACGAAACATGACACTGTATGACACTGCAAGACACGGTGTGCCACTTAATGAAACAACATACACCATGTGACACGGCAAGCACCTGTTTGACATGGTTCCAGACTTGCATCCACCTGAGGCGAACACATGTCACGTTCTGTCCTTGACGTAACAAGTCAGCTCGACACAAATCAGACAGAACTCAGAGATCATTTACACACACATAAACAACGTCAATCTGATTGATAAGATTACATGTATTTGACTGACAGATATAGCCAAAAGGGCCTCGACCCACTCGACAAAATCAATTTAATGTTTCAAGAATGTCAACAGACTTACTACCAGTTCCCTTATATGTGAAGCGTGGGCACCTCGCCAACCCATGCTGTTCTTTCTCCCCGTGTATAACCAGGAACTCAGGTAGGGCAGTGGGCCAAGGACTCTAACTCGCTGAGCAGAGTTGTGCCCCTTTAAAGCAGGATCGGATGGCGGATGGTTCGAATCCTAGTATCTCCTCGATTATTATATAATTGAAATATTACAACCGAACTCACTCACTCGTCATTAAAACAGGGAAATGGGAATGTATATGATGCATGGCTAGTATGTGGTTAGTTTATTGCTAGTATACGGTCAGTTTGTGATTCGTATGTGCCTAGCATGTGGTTAGTATGTGGCTAACATGTGGCTCGCATGTGGCTCCTTTGTGGTTAGTTTGTGGCTCGTGTGCGGTTAGTATGTGTCTCGTGTGGTTAGTTTGTGGCTAGTGTGTGGCTCGTGTGTGGTTAGTATGTGGCTAGTATATGGCTTGTGTGTGGTTAGTATGTGGCTAGTATGTGGCACGTGTGTGGTTAGTTTGTAGCTAGCATGGGGCTCGTGTGTGGTTAGTTTGTGGCTAGCATGGGGCTCGTGTGTGGTTAGTTGGTTAGTGTGTTTATTATGTGGCTGGTATGTGTCTACCATATGGTTAGTATGTGTCTACCATATGGTTAGTATGTGGTTAGTAGGGTATACGTATTATCATCATATTGTCAATTAATATTACTATCCCGTTTTTAGGGTAACCACATTAAGCTACTATGCCGGGATATATATATATATATTGTTCAAAGCGGAATGAAACCCATGTCAAGCACTCACTTCATACGAACGAAGGGTTAAGGGTTGCCTAGGGGGTAA